AAGTTGTGAGAAATATCTAAGATATTTCTAGAAAAGTTTCTAGAAAAAATCTTTGATATTTCTAGAAGGTTAATGAGACATGTGTAGAAAATTCTAGAAAAATATCTATGTAACATGCTATAGATTTTTCCTTAGTGGCGGTGGAAGAGGGCTATAAATAGCCAACCCCTCTCCACTTGAAGAATACACACCTATCAGAAGAAAAAAACTAAGTCCCTTGTACAAAGCCTTCATAATACAATACTTTTTGTCTTCTTTGTTTTCTACTTGTCTTCCACCATCAAAAGTTTTGTTCTACTGTTGCTTCAAGTCCACGTACCAACACTTGTACTCACTAAATCACTCACTCACTTACAAAACAAATCACGCTTCCGCAAATACTAACACGGTCTTCCCTACCAGACCAATCCATGTTTGGCTCCGTTTCTAGGAGAAACCGGCTATTCTGCAGAATCAAATGGAGAAAGCCTTCCATGTATAGGTGACATCATGGAGCACGCCGGTTGATTGGTTTGGTGATATTAGGTTACGTTGCACCGTAACTCTAGTTCGTGATGATGTGTTGTGCGAATCTGTCACTGCTTGTTAAGCTGTAGCAGCTGCTCATTCGCCTCTATAAACATTTGTAGTGTAAATAAAGCAGGGGCAGAGAGACAGCAAAGCAAGTACGTGCTTTGACGACTGTGTCTCTTTCAGTGAATGCAAATCTGCATGTTTGGACTCTGTCCTGGCTCTAACTTAATTGTTTTTCTTCGCTTCTTCTCTTAAAAAACCGCAAAGAAAGAAACACGAGAACAAGGATAAGTATACATTCTTGACATTGACTGGAGTTGCTGTGCAGTTTACTAATCGAGCTTTGATGGAGATCAAGCCTAGACATCTGCTAATTAGTTACGGAAGATGGCTATGTCTAAGTGTACCTGTTGGAGAGCACAATGACAACCATGGAAAGCATTTTTTTTCCAACAGTGTCCAACAGTGTTGATGGACATGAAATCCACATGAAATTGATCATGAGTTTGGTTTAGCGATCTTGAGATATGTATGTAACGGAGTCGTCTAGTTGGTAATTTCCTTAACTAGTTGATAACTGCCTAGATGAAATGAAAATATAAATTCAGAATACTAATTAACGTCAAGGTGCAATTAAAGTAAATAGAACAGTGCGAAATCGTAACGAGATTAAAACTTATTTTGTAAAATTTCTAAAAAGAATGGTTAATACCACCAAAAATTCCAAACGGGTATACTTGGAATGAATTTATTCTTGCCCCCTTTCGATGAATGTGAAGAAGTTGCTTAGTGAAAAAAATGGAGATTGAACTTATCGACCGATTGTATAATTGAACGCGAAAAAGTTGCCTCCCGATGCACCGAACTGAATCTCTATTTTGAACTTGTTGCCAGATATCTTGTTAACTCTGCTCTTGAAAATGCTGGTTATACTTTTCCTCTAGCCATCGTCCGGATTACAGTTGTTCAACAATTGTTGACGACTAAACGTGAGAATCTTCACTCTCATGCCCTCCGCCCCCGCCGTGACCCTCCTGAGATTATGGGCATCTTTGTCTGCAGCTCCTTCCCCCCTCCTATAACACATTCAAAAAGAAGCTAAAGCGCTTGCAGTTTCTAGGTTCAAGAGCAGTGAGATTATTTACCCTTGTTGACTAAAAAGCCTGGTCTTCATACATTTCATACAAAAACCTAAGCCGGGATCTCCTTTTATCAAGGGCAGGATTGTCGAGAGAGATATTCATTATTGCCCAAAAAGTGCTGAAACAATGGCCATGTTTCTCTACTCCTCATACCCAGTTTGCTATGTTCAGCATTGAAGTATGTAGCTGTCGTATGATTAATAGTAGAATACTCGTCTTAATTCAATATGAAAGAGTCGAGAGGCAGTAAACAAATTGCACTCTTGCTCCTTTTGTAATAACCTAGCCAATTGGGGCTGTTCACTGATGTTTCAGGATGGACCGCTTGTGGTCTAACTTGTGGAAGTTCGATATAGCTCGTACTCTACTGGCTACATTCGTTTTGTTACTCTAGTGCTGTGACAGCAACACGCACATGCGCTTGCGCACACACGTGCACACACTTTCAGAGAGAGAGAGAGAGAGAGAGAGCTATGTCATATGCAAAGTTGCTTAGATCAGGAAACATTCTAGACTATTGGTAGTTTTATACATGGCCGTATTTAAGAAGTTCGCTCATTTATTTCAGTCAGTCTTCTTCACTATGATACCTGTTTTGTGACTACTTATCAAACGTCAATTAGCACTTCTTTTAGCATGGCCATAAGTCTGGATGTTGGCTGCTATTGATGCTCATGATTTTCTACGTTATTCTTAGCCATCTCCATAAGATTTATTTCAGCGCTGAAGAGTCCATTTCGTGATTTTTCAACCATCTATTTGTCAGGCTACTGCAAATTGTAGAGCTTTGGGAGCTCGAACAAGTCTTCCGTACCACACAGATCCGCGCCTAGCGCCCTTTCTGAGCTGATAGCTCCCAAACACTGACAGCCAGTGGACAAGAGGGAGAATCTGGAGGACACGCGAGAGAAACATGATCAAATAATTTGGCGGTTCGAAAAGTTTCTTCGCCTTTTATTCATTATTTCATTGGCGAGTGCTTGAATGTTGCTGTCAATTTCTGCATCAAGTCATTTGTCTGCTCTACAGGCTCCAGCAGTTCTAGCTTGTCCGATCATACAACGTGAACGACGAGGTTGATCGGCTAATCAGTGACGAGGATCACCGCAAGCATCGACATCAGCATGAAAGATTCATTAACTTAGGACAAATAGAGTTTAAACGGGATGACATGAACATACACTATACACAAAGCAGGAGCAAGTGGGAGAATTATGCGCTACGTCGTATTAAAATAAGAAGTCGCCTCGACATTTCGCTCCTCACGACTTTTTACCTGCTCTGAAACGTGGAGGTGCTGAATCATCTCGTGTTTTTGTCTCTTCATGCGTGGTTGGGAGTTGGGTATTCAAAGCTTTGTCGTGACCAGGTTGCGTGTCTAATCTTGGGGACCTTATTCATCAGTCCCTACATTATTGCCCCATCGGATATCGGATCGGGAGCCCCACTGGCCATCGACTTTATTTACTTGGTCGGCAATAGAAAGACTTCCTGGTCGTCGACGTTCGTCTTTATCCCCCGTGAGCCGGCCAAATGAATTGAACGCTTTGATGTAGGCAAGTTGCATAGCTAAAGTAAAGTGGGTGCAAATGCACCGAGTACATGCAAGACTTGCTCCGTGCGTTAAATCAAAAAGGAAGAAAAAAAGAACAAAGAAAACAAGGACGTCTCTGTTTTACTGTTTCTGAAGTCTGTAAGCGGGTGGAAATTTCACATGGTTCTAGATGTTTACATGTGCACTGTTGGAATAATCTTTAGGGCTCTGCCGTGTATCGGTCTAGATGCTATGTTCAAGCCTCGTTAGAAGCTCTTGAGGAGTAAAATTGCTAATGCACCGAACGGATACGGAAGAGGAGTAAAATTGCTAATGCACCGAATGGATACGGAAGAGTGTGCTCTTAAAATCGCCTCGAGAGATGGATCAATCAAAGTGCGTAAAAGTAGCTCCGAACGCCAACTAATCCGCTACACAGAAAAGAAGACCTTCGGGATTTTGTTAATGAGTGCCCCCATCGGCTCTTGTTAACAAAACCATTTAAGGAAAATTTTATAGTATCTTATGCACCGATTGATCTCGTGTCATCTACAATCAATGCCTTCAAATGAAACAAGATGTTCACTCTTTGTTATGGGTTGATTTCAACTGCTTTCGTAATTCGGTGGGCTCTTTATTGATCTCGAATCAATACCGTCAGAAAAACCCCAAAAGAGCCTGATGACTTTTCATGTGCTTTGGTCCTTCATCTTGATTTTTATAATCCTAAGTGAGAGTCCCCCATTAATTCCAACATCATTCTGGGATATGTTCCACGCGATGTGAGGGGGGACTTTTGTCTCGTAATGTGTCTAGTGTGTGAGTTCGCGTGAAGGTTAACGTTTGGTGGATGGAAGAAGTTAAAACGTCATGCCAATTTAATGCAAACCGAAGAGAGTTAGAGTGACAAAGCGATGGCAACTCTCCATTTGGTTTGCAGTGTGAATCCTGCAAATAGCTGCTATCCGAGGACCATGTTTTTATATAGATTACCAGAATTGCTCTATTCATTCCTTTGTCCTATTGGTTAATAATATTCAACTATAATTGATGAGTCTAATTTAACATAAGTAAAAATTCATGTCTTAGTAATATCAATTCACTTTAAATTCAATAAAGTATAGGAATGCAATGTGATTTTTTTAAAATGAAAACTGAATTTATTCATAAGTGCATGGCATATATTGTTGAAATATTAACGCGAACATGATATGTGGTTCCGTTCGAGTGTCGGTACTTGCATCTATGGAGAGAGGCAGCAATAAATAATCTACTATAATCGAATAATCAGAGTTACAATTACTTACACGCTTGAGTGTTTCTCACACCTAACTTACACAAAAACCCTAAAGTGTTTATAAATAAACAACTTAATTGGATGTAAAATCATAGCACAAAATCATAGTGTTCACGGCCACTTCGTTCGTTCAGAAAAAACTTCACGGTTCCTATACTTGTGCGGCTTCTCTTGGGCGACTGCGGCTTCTTCTGTGTGTGCAATAGGGGTGTGCAACGGGAACCGCCCGAACTAGGAACCGCCCGGACCAGTCAATTATGGGTGGTCCAGGCGATTCCAGGGGCTACCGGTCCAGTTCCCAATTCCATAAAATTGGAATTGGTGATTTTCGGTTCGGTTCCCGGTTCCAGGGTGGTAACTTAACTTGACCGATTACATATTTTTTTTTAAAAAAATTTCAATCAAAACAGCTAAACCCTAATCTCTTATTCTCCTCGGACTCCTCTCTCTCACTTAGCTCAACTCAAGCCTCGCTGCCTCACGCCTCATTAGACTTTCCCTCTCGCGTCTCGCCTCTCACGCCTCGCTGCTTGAGCTAGAGTTGACGCCTCCCTCTCGCGGTCTCATCTCGACTCTTGCCTCCTCTCTTGCTCTATTTTTTGCATCTCCTACAGCTCGGTCACCTTGCCGCCTCCAACCGCTCTTATTTGCGGTGCCAAAAATTGCGGCAAGACCACCTCCTCTCGCCACCTCCTCAAAATCCTCCTTCAGAGGTCCAACATCTTCTCATAAAATAAAAAATTGTGAAGCCACACTTTGCGGATTCGGCAAGGTTTCGCCTTCCTAGTAATATTGTTCCTAGCTCATCCAGCGATTTGCATTTTCTTTTAAAGATTTAGCATTCATCGGGAGGCTCAGAAGCACCCAATCCCGGCAATGACAGAGGTATTCATGCGAAATCCTCATCCGTTTGTAATTGTATGTTCGTGTGTTTTACTTGGGGCGGCAATGATCGCCTCGTTGACTCGAAGAGTCAAAGTTGCGATTAGGTGACCTAGAGAGACATCATCAAGTCACTATTGGGATGACAATTCGTTGGAAATTGATAACACCCATGTTTGGATTCAGCAACTTTTTCTAGGCGATATCCACTATTCATCACGGTGCAATTTGCTTTTTCAATTTCTACATTCATCGGGAATATAATGAAACTTTGATTTGCGACAATAACTGATGTGATATTGAATTCTCAAATCAATCCATAAAAAAATTGTGAAGGCATCGATTACATTAAACCGGATTAAGACCTGTCAAGTATTGATTTTCAATTCTAAAAATTGAAAATTGATACCCCTAACTCAGTTTCGATTCTTAGATGGAATTGGATCGGATCGGATTGGAAATCGAGGCAAAGTCAAAAAGCCCTTTTGGTTTTACTTTATTTTGTTTCCTCTTTTTTTTTTCCCATCCTGGCCCCACACGCTTTCTGCTCACTTCTTTTCCTTCCCCTGACGAGTCACCAAGATATTCAGATTGCGTCCCGCCAAATATTTCTTCAATGAATTTCAATAGCATTTCACGTGCTTAGCTACTCATTGCTTTGAGTAGACCCTGAATGTAGGACCTTTATTCATCCATGGTTAGAATGACTTCATTCCTGTTGATTGGAAATGATCATCATGACTTCCCACCCTAAAATAAGCTAAAATAATGGAGATAATGGTCCAATTTATAAAATATCAAATGGTTTATTATTAAATATTTGCCTATAAAAGGACAAGCATTTTGCTTCCCACTCAAGACAGTCTCTCTCCAGCTCTTGGCTCTCTCATCTTTTGCTTATTCTCGTTTCATACTCAAACATCATCATGTCCTCCACATCTCTTCCTCCATCGCCTGAGCAATGCCTCGTTGTACGTCTGTGTCACACGCTCTGTTTGCATGAATGCTCATCCATGCCCGCGTCTAAGCAGAGCACAAAAATTTCATTACCTCTCTTCACACTCTTGAAGAAAAGAAAAAAAGCTTCCTCAAAATTTGATTGATGTTTGTGTATTTGGAAACACAGGTGGGATTCGGTGAGACTTGTCTGGATTACTTGGCTGTTTTGTCCACTTTACCCAGGCCTGGTGACAAAACCCTATGCAGGAGCATGAAAGTACTCCATTTTCCATGACTGTGATTTTTTTTCAATTTGTTTTCTTGGCCTTCCATAGGGATGGACTTATTTTAAGAAAGTGAGCTGACAGATTGTTCCTTGGAAGATTGTTCTTGAAAAAAGCTATGATACCAAAATGAGAATTGGATGAAAGTTACAGCAGTGTTAGCGTCCTTATCCTGAGATAAGACATCAGCAGGAGTAAATTCGTTTTCATGTTCTTCGCTTATCGTTGTTTATATTCATCAGTTTTGATCCAGTCCAACCACTTCTCATTTATGTTGATGCCATTGAAGAAACGTGTATGCCAGAAATGATGCTGTTAGACTATTAGATTTCTGGAGTAACCTTTAAATCCACTGTCTACTGTTTAGGTTCAAGGAAATGGAGGAGCAGCGAACGCTTTAACTTGTTTGGCTCGTCTGGGTGTGAGAGCAAGGCTTATGTCCAAGGTTACCGGCTGGCATATCTATAAATTTTCCATTTTGATCTACTCAAATGTCTGACTTAGAGGACCACATTTGGATTTTTAGCTAAACATTTTCTGCATGCTTTGTGAAATTAACTAGATTGCTGATGACGTCCCCGGTAAGTGCATATTGGAGGAGCTAAAGGCTGATGGTGTAGATACCTCTTTTCTTGTGGTAAGATTTATATTGATACCTTGCCGTTTAAGGGAGCATCTTCAAGTAATCATCTGCATATGCTTGGTAAATTATTAGGTTGTGCATTAAGCGGGAGCAGATTATCTAGCTCAAATCCGTTTCTGCGTCGGCATGCTATCCAAAAGATTCTGGTTTTACTATTTAGAGATCATTTTCTTTCTATAGGAGAACAAACACTTTCTTCTCCTTACCCAAAAAAAAAAAAAAAAAAAAAAAACTTTCTTCTCAACAGCTTTGAGGTTTTTATTCAAGTACCGATCTGCAGTTGCTTCTATGTAGACTTCAGCTAAAAAGAACGAAGTCACTGTGAAACTAATTTTGGCGTCTATAACTTTAGAATTAGAAATCTGCAATTCTTGTTGTTCTTCACTTACACCTAATCACTGGTTTCTTAGAAGAGCATCGCATGTTGTACACTCGAGTGGCTTTTTTCTCGCCAAAACCTTTTTCTTTTCTCCAGGTTGCCGAGGATGGACAAACGCCTTTTTCCTATGTTATGGTCGACGAATCAACGTGAGGACATCTCCTCTCTTAATTTGACCAGAATTTCTGTAGTTTCGTAAGCATGTTTGAGCATTTAAGCTGCTCTACCCTAGCATCTTTTGTGTTAGCATTCTCTTTGAGATATCGAGAATAGGGATATAGGTTTTTCAGTGGCAAAATTAGCATATGAAGAATGCTTCTTTCACGTTCCTAACTCTGGTTCATTCAGTCTTCAGTACCCCTTGCTTAGCTTCGGTTTTTCTTTTCCTCCCAGGGAAGTCATTTAATACTGTCATTTCTAAAGATCAGGTGTACTATAAAAATGATTATTTGAAAAGGTTGATGAACTATGACCCGGATTTCGATTTATCGCTGCAATCATTATGCTCAAATTCTGAAAGAGAGAAGTCAGGATAGCTCTTGGATACCATGCCAAATGTCCTGTCGTGTTACTTTGTACCGTATAATTTCTCAGTTGTATATTGTTTCCCCTTAACACAAGACGCTAACATAATGTCCGGCGTTTACATATGGCTATCAACTTTGATGAGACTTTCAGGAGAACACGTACTTGCATTCATACGCCGGGATCCCTGGTCATGGACCCGGCTGACATTTCCCAGATGGATTTAAAATCTGCACTCCAAGGGGCGAGGTTTGCCTACTTTGATGCGAGACACACAGATGCTGCAATAGTTGTTGCCCGCGAGGTATAGTCATCTTATTTGCTTCTTTTTTTTTTTTGGTCGGATATTTGCTTCTATTTTAGTTGGTGCGAACTGTATGAGATGGAGTAGATTAGGAACTTTCTCTCACATGAAATATTTGGGAAATATGCTCGAACGCTCATATTCTAAGATTACATCTCCCTTGTCTATGCAGGCAGCTGGGCAAAATATACCCATTCTCCTTGATGCAGCAGAGAGAAGGCCGGGATTGGACGGTCTTCTTCACTTATCGGATTATGTCGTATGTTCAGCTAAATTTCCACAGGTAAACCAACTATAGGAAGTCCTGTGTATTGTTGATTCTAAATTCTTGGCCAGATGATATAGGTGCTACTCATCTGCTAGGAAAGACATTTGATATCTGACTATCAAATTAGTGTTTATTAAGAAAACTTTGCCGAGTTTAGTTTACTGAATGCTTTTGCTAAGAAACTTGTCTCACTAAATCGCATGTATCACTCATAATATATCCATATACCACGAGTTTCTTCTGATGCTTTGCTATAAGTTAACTAGCACCTTGACACGTTGAACATCTCCATTTGGTCAACATAGTCAGATATAAAGGGTTCGAGTTATTTATTGGAGCTTTCGTCTGCTTTCGCTGTATGTGCTTACTGGATGTTCAGTTTGTCAATAAACTCTGAATGCAACATGATTTCTATGTACAACAGGCATGGACAGAGGCACCATCGCAGCCGAGTGCCCTCCTATCCATACTTCTTAGATTACCAAAACTGAAATTCGCAATCGTTACCTTGGGCGAAGATGGATGCCTGATGCTGGAGAGGTCATCTGATGGTAAGTTGGGGACTCCGGCTGTTACTTTGTTTTACCCCTTACGCCAGAATGCCTTCAACTGATGCTTACTTTTTAACTTTATGTACAGCAGAAAACCCGCAGATGGGAGAAGAAGATGTCGATAGCTTATGGCGTTCTTTGGAGCAAGAAAGGGATGATGGTGTAGTCAGACCGATGTGCATTCCATCGGTAATGTGCTTCTCGAATCTCCGTCAAAAAGGCTTGCTCGTTGTGTTATTATTGTGTTTAAGGCCAGTTAGAGATGCTAGAGCAGCTTTCTGTGCTGAATTTCAACTATTCCCAATTACTATCTACTGATAATAATTTCCGGATAATAGTAAGTCGCTTAGTCAAAAAATTGGATCATGAGACTGAACCTATCAACCAATAGTATAATTGAATGTGAAAAAAGTTGCCTCCCGTTGCGTCCAACTAAATCTCTTTTTCGAACTTGTTGCCAGATATCTTCTTAACTCTACTCTTGAAAATACTGGTTATACTCTTCCTCAAGCCATCGTCCGGATTACAGTTGTTCAGAATGAGCAGATCCTTGTCAATCCTCTATGCTTATAAGCAAAGCAGTCTAGGAAAGGCAGCCTGATTCAGTCAAGTACTTCTATGCTAATGAATTTAAAATCCATTATGAACTCTCATCTTACTTTCCCAAAAGCTAGTATTGAGGTGGGCAAGCCCTAGGCCATATAAACCACACATCTAAATCCCATACCATCGATGTAGGATCCAAGTTGCATACCTTGCAATTAGGATCATAACATATGATGTTTAAACAAAATCTGAGTAGTCTCAAGATGGTAGTTTGCCCTACACAAACCACCCTCTCCATGATCACCAAATGGAAGGCGGGTTTCCATTTACTACTACAGTACAACCAACAAAAAAATTTCCCCATTTTCCATTTTGTCCCGATTACTTCAGTCATTAGGTGTAATTGGGGGAGAAAAATATTTTGGCAATTTCAGTGGCTTCATGTCGGTTGTTGCTCAAAGGCAGCTCGGCAATTTCTGATAGTTTATAGTAATTTCCATTTTAGAAGCAAGCGACACTCTGATAGATTATTGTTCTAGCTTGGAAATGCATGACATTGTCTGGTTTGCAACACTTACATTGGAATAATAACTAACGACAATTTGTTTTCCGGTCAGAATGTGGTGAAACTGAAAGCAAACGGAATTGGGACATTGACCGGTAGATTGCTCGTGGGTACTGCCGAAAGGATACCGCCATCAGAACTAGTCGACACAACTGGCGCCGGCGATGCTTTCACCGGAGCTGTTCTCTACGGTAGGCTTAGCCATAAATTAGAAACTCTACACTTGTTTGTGCAGTTAATCATGCTTCATTTTCATAGTGGGATAGCTTACCTTGGTCGCTCACTCCATATTTTAACTAACTGTTTCCCATTACTCATATTCTGTCATGTGATAAATGACAATGTAAATCATAAACCCGGAGATCATCATGCAAATATCCCAAATTGGCCAGATCATGGTCAACAGTATTATTTTGTTGCAAAATACTTATGCGTCATCAACTTTACAAAAGGTCGTATCTCCATATCACCTGATATTAACCATAAATCGTAGACAGGCAAAGTATAACATGTTAGAGTGAGACACCGCATGATGCTCCACATCAACCTGTAAATGTTGTGCTGATGCATCGGTTCTCTCTTATGAAGTCCTTGACGTGTTTTACTTTCACTCTCGTTCTTGCAGCGTTGTGTATGAACATGGCCCCGGAAAATATGCTTCCATTTGCTGCCACGGTGGTAAGCAGACTTTCTCCCTTCGAGTTGATAAAGTGATGAGAGAATTACAGTTGCTACCTAGAAAGAGTGTCAGAACTTAGTTAAATCAGATGAAAGATGGGGTCATTACATAATTTTGTCATATTAACCTCTTCTGAGTTGTTTTGATCCCTCGATTTATATAACTATAGGCGGCTGCTGGGTGCAAGGAATTGGGAGCTAGAACCGGTCTTCCCCGCCAGACCGATGGTGTTCGGCTCCGTTTTTAGGAGAAACCGGCTAGTCTGCGGAATCAAATGGAGAAAGCCTTCCGTGTATAGGTGACATCATGGAGCATGCCGACATGGTATCGGCATTTGGTTGATTGGTTTGGTGATAATAGGTTACGTTGCACCGTAACTCTAGTTTGTGATAACGTGTTGTGTGAATCTGCCACTGCTTGTTAAGCTGTAGCCAGCTGCTCGTTTGCCTCTCTATAAACATTTGTAGTGTGAATAAAGCCGGGGGCTGAGAGACAGCATAGCAAGTTTCTGCTTTGACGACTCTCGCCTCTTTCTGCGAATGCAAATCTGCATGTTTGGACTCTGTCCTGGCTCTAACTTAATACTTTTTTTTTCGCTTCTTCTCGTAAACAACCGCGAAGAAAGAAACAAGAGAACAAGGATAAGTATCCATTCCTGACCTTGACTGGAGTTGCTATGCAGTTTACTAATCGAGTTTTCATGGAGAGCAAGCCTAGGGGCGCGAATGACAACATTTCTCTTCCCCGGCCCTATTTCTGGCTATTCCCCGAATGAGCTTCTGAGCAAAAAGCAGCGTTTGATAATGATACAAAATTTATGTTCCCGGAATAGATATTCGTTTGATACGTTATTCTTAAATTTATGCTCCCGGCAGACGGCCGGCGAGTAGCAGTGGGCGGGCGGCAAGCGACGGGCAGGCAGCTGACAAGCGGCGGCGGCGAGTGGGTGGCAAGGGTGAGCAATAAAAGAGAGTTGTTATTTCTGTTTCTGTTCCAGAAATAGAAAAATAAAAAATTTTAACATCTCATTTCTGTTCAAAATCTATTTTTGGGCCAAAATTTGTCTCAGAAATAAAAAATGAAATTAGTTTACCAAACGGATTTCTGTTCCAAACCTATTTCCGAGAACAAAAAAATAGAAAAACATGGAAATAAAACGGTTATCATTCGCGCCCTAGATATCTGCTAATCAGTTACGGAAGATGGCTATGTCTAAGTTTACCTGTTGGAGAGCACAATGACGAACATGGAAAACAGTTTTTTCCAACAGCATCCAACATTGTCGATGGACATGAAATCCACAAGAAATTTGATCACGAGCTCAGTCCGGCGATCTTGATGTGTATGTAATGCAGTCATCCAGTTGATTGTCGTCGAATCATGTGGAACAAATGACATTGCGTTACTATAACGTGAATCACTGAAATTGCACCCATCGGCCAAGGTCGACATGGTGCCTGGCTCGAACAATCAGTTTCCTTAAAACTGTTAGTCGTCACAACTGTCTTCGCATTGTTGCATCATATTACTCGAAGCGCCAGCTTCGTCGTCCACGGAACGAAATTAAGCAAAATCAATAGACGAAAATGAAGGAAATAAACTGTACATGTAAACGTACATGATCAAGAGACTGAAGTGGTTGCTGACCTTAACTCAACAGGTTGACCCATCTATTTCAAATGGCCTAGAAAGCATCAACCTCAATCCATGAATTGATGATGAAATCATGGGCAGAGAAGACAGATCAGCCTCGTGAAGCCCATCAACGTCAAACTCCAGATATCTCGTCGGGCACCCACCGGTGCTTATGGGCCCGGACTCGATTTTTGGAATGAAAAGATAAATTCGGAATACTAATTAACGTCAAGGTGCAATTAAAGTAAATAGAACAGTGCGAAATTCTAATGAGATTAAAACTTATTTTGTAAAATTTCTAAAAAGAATGGTTAATATCACCAAAGATTTCAAACAATTATACTTGGAGTGAATTCATTCTTGGCCCCTTGCAATGAATGTGTAAAAGTTGCTTAGTCAAAAAATGGATAATGAGATTGAAATTACCAACCATGTGAAAAAATTGCCTCCCATTGTGTATTGTGTTAGGGTGTGTTAGGAAGTTCAACCCAAAAACTTAAGCTGTTAGATGAATGCTTGGTTTATTATTTATATATTTCAACACTCCCCCTCACGCGTAAGTTAGACTTTGGCTTAAATCTATGGAAATATGGAATTGGAAAGGTAAATAGGGGTTATACTTTTCTTCTAGTCATCGTCCGGATTATGGGCATCTTTGTCTGAAGCTCCTTCCCCCCTCCTATAACACATTCAAAAGAATCTAAAGTGCTTGCTGTTTCTAGGTTCAAGAGCAGTGAGATTATTTACCCTTGTTGACTAGAAGCCTGGTCTTCATACATTCCATACAAAACCTAAGCCGGGATCTCCTTTTATCAAGGGCAGGATTGTCAAGAGAGAGATATTCCTTTATTGCCCAAAAAGTGCAGAAACAATGGCCATGTTTCTCCACTCCTCATACCCAGTTTGTTATGTTCAGCATTGAAGTATGTAGCTTTCATATGATTAATAGTAGAATAATCTTGTCTATATTCAATGTGAAGAGTCGAGAGGCAGTAAGCAAATAGCACTCGTGCTCCTTTCGTAATAACCTAGCCAATTG